ACCAACACACCATCGACATTACCACCACCATCGTCCTCACCACCACCACCACCAATACCCCCACCGACATCACCGTCGTCCTCACCACCACCACCACTAATACCCCCACCGACATCACCACCACCACAAGCAACACCACTATCATCACCACCACAACCACCATCGTCATCACCACCACTATCGCCATCACCACCACCACAAACATCACCACCACCACCACCATCATCACCACCATCACCACTCCCAGCACACCACCACACCATTGCCATCTCCACCACCACAAACAACACCACTACCATCACCACCACATTCACCACCATCTCCCTCTGACCACCCCGTCGCCACGCCGACCTCTCTGCACCCAATACGTCTTCTAGCAATCGGTCCACTCAGCCTAAATTATTTTTCCAATTTCTCTAATAGCATTCTTGGTCATCTCCACTTCTTTCTTTCTCTCTGTCTCCTCTTATATATATTTTATTTATTTTTATGTTTACTATATTTTATTTATTTTTATGTTTACTATATTTTATTTATTTTTATGTTTACTATATTTTATTTATTTTTATGTTTACTATATTTTATTTATTTTTGTGTTTACTATATTTTATTTATTTATTATTATTATTATTATCGATATTATTATTATTATTTTTTTCTTATTTTTATTCTTTTCCCCTCGCGAGTACTTAAAGAGATCTGTTTCCTTCATGGCACCGCACGCGTATTCTGTATTAATTCAGCGCACGTACGTACGTCCATTGTCTGTTGTTTAGTGTTCTTATGTGTGTTTGTTTGTCTGTGTGTGTGTGTGTGTGTGTGTGTGTGTGTGTGTGTGTGTGTGTATGTTTATTTTTGTGTGTGTGTGTGTGTGTGTGTTAGTGTGTGTGTGTGTTTATGTTTGTGTGTGTGTGTGTTAGTGTGTGTGTGTGTGTGTGTGTGTGTGTGTGTGTGTGTGTGTGTCTGTGTGTGTGTGTGTGTGTGTTTCTGTGTGTGTGTTTCTGTGTTTTGATGTCTGTTTTTCTGCCTGTCTGTGTCTTTTTCTCTGCTTGTACACTGGTACGCAAATATCATATTCTACGAGGAATCCTCCCTTATATATACCATTAATACCAACTACCATAAAATACGAATAGCCTATCCTTGCTATGTATTTACATTCCCCTTAGTTAGCTATTTAACTGCATCTGCTCCCTGTTTCCGTTGTGTAAACTCCTGTTAGATATAATCCTTACACAATGCGGAAATACTTGACATTCTCTTCACCTCGTGGCTCAGAATGTATTTGCAAGCTCTCCACTCAATTGCTTGAATGCATAATCTGGATCCTTTTCGTATTTGTACTAGGGTAAAAACAGCGGTTATTTAAGGTATATTTTGTGTGTGTGTGTGTGTGAAAATTCCACTTTTACTCTCTCTCTCTCTCTCTCTCTCTCTCTCTCTCTCTCTCTCTCTCTCTCTCTCTCTCTCTCTCTCTCTCTCTCTTTCTCTCTCTCTCTCTCTCTCACTCCTTCCCTATCTCTCTTCCCTCCAACCTCCCTCCCTTCCAATTTCTCTATCTCTCTCTCTCCCACTCTCTCTCCCTCTCCCTCCCCATCTCCCTCTCCCTCTCCCTCTCCCTCTCTATCTCCCTCCCTCCCTTCTCCCTTTCCACTTTTACTCTCTCCCTCCCTCCCTCCCTCCCTCCCTCCCTCCCTCCCTCCCTTCTTCCCTACCGATTTTTCCTAGACTGAATATTACCTTCACTTTACTCGCTGATTAAGATGAAATGAATGATAATGATAACAACAGTATTAGCATTAAAGTTACTAACAATAGTAATCTTAAGAAGCGCATCAATCAATCTCTCCCTCTCCTCATATCCATCTCATTCTCTCTTCCCTCATTCCTCTCTTCTTTCCCCTCTTCCCTCAACTCCTCTCTCTCTCTTCCCTTCCCTCGTTTCCCTCTCTTCCTATTCTCACGTCCCTCATCTCCCTTTCTTCTCTCTTTCCTTCTCTCATCTCTTCTCTCCCTCCCTTACTCTCCCCTCCCCTCATCTTCCTCTCTTCCCTCTTCTCATCTCCTTCTCTTTTTTCCCTCTCCCATCCCCCCTCCCCCTCACATCCCTCTCTCCCTACTTTTCTCCTTCCCCTTATCTCCTCACACCCCTCTCTCTCCCCTTTTCTCCTCCCCTTCATCTCTCCCTCTCATTCTCTCTACTTTCCCCTCTTTCCTCGTTTGACCCATTTCATTATCCTCTTCCCTCTTCCCATTCCTCATACTCCATTCTTCCCACTCTCCCCCCTCCTCCCGTCATCTTCCTTCCTCTCATCTCCCACATTTCCCCCTATTCTCTCCCTTCATTTCCCTTTCATTCACTCTCCTTATTCTCCTTCCCCGCTCTTCCCTCATTCCTCCCCTCCCTCCTCTTCCTCTCATTCTCTCTCTCTCTCTCTCTCTCTCTCTCTCTTCATCTCCCTCTCATATTCTCTCTCTCTCTCTCCCCTCACCTCCCTCTCATTCCCTCCCTCTCTCTCTCCTCCCTCTCATTCCCTCTCTCTTTCTCTCTCTCCCTCTCATTCCCTCTTTCTCTCTCTCCCCACAGTTCACCGTCCCCCACTCCCGGGGAAGCAGTCATGGCCAAACACGTATCATCAGGAAGACCAATTTTGGGACACCTGCTTTGGCCCCGTTGCTCGAGGATTCGTACAGGCAGTGGGAAAGCATACAAGCTGAGGCTGGCGAAGTGCTGCTTAGGTATGTGTCTTTGTTTTATGGTTTGGGTGTGTTTGTGTTTGTTTTTGTTTGCGTGTATGTTTGTGTTTCTTTTTGTTTTGGTGTATATTTGTGTTGGTTTTTGTTTGGGTGTGTTTGTTTTTGTTTGGGTGTATGTTTGTTTGGGTATTTATGTTTGCTTCTGTTCGTGTGTTTGTTTGTTTTTGTTTGGGTGTATTTTTATATGGTCGTATGCTTGGTTTTGTTTGTGTGTGTGTTTGTTTTTGTGTATTTGTTTTTGTTTGGGTGTATGTTTGTTTGGGTATATGTTTGTTTGGGTGTTTATGTTTGCTTGTGTTTGCTTGTTTGTGTTTGTTTGTGTTTCATTTTGTTTGTGTGTATGTGTGAAGAGCGTGGTGACGGGAAGGGGATTTGTTTGTTTGTTTGCTTGTTTCAGTGTTTGCATTGATAGATTTTTTGTAATAAAAGAAAGGGTAGTATGCTTGGTTTTGTTTGTGTGTGTGTTTGTTTTTAATGAGTGGCAAGGAAAAGCCTCATTTAGTGTATGTATGAGGGGTTAAGGGAGAGGAAAAGGACTTCGTGAGAGATATGCGTTTGTTTGGGGAGAAAGGAAGATGATGGTCCTGTGTTTGTATGTTGCTGTGTATGTCTCTCTTTCTCTTTCTATTTCTTTTTCTCTTTCTCTTTCTCTTTCTCTTTCTCTTTCTCTTTCTATTTCTATTTCTATTCTCTCTCTCTCTCTCTCTCTCTCTCTCTCTCTCTCTCTCTCTCTCTCTCTCTCTCTCTCTCTCTCTCTCTCTCTCTTTCTCCCTCCCTCTCCCTCCTTCCTTCCTTCCTTCCTTCCTTCCTTCCTTCCTTCCTTCCCTCCTCCCTCCCTCCCTCCCTTCTTTCCTCCCCTGTCCCGCCCCCCTCCCTCTCTCCCTCTCCTTCTCCCCCATCTTCTCTCTCGCTCTCCCTCTCTCTCTATCTATCTATCTATCTATCTATCTCCCTTTCTCTCCCATCTTCCTCTGTGTCTCTGAAGAAAAAAATCACTGATAAAAAAAAGAAAGAAAGAAAAAGAAAAGAAAAGAAAAATATATAAATGAATGAAAATAAAACTTCGGTCCATATTTCCCCTCTCCCCAGGCCATCTCCGCTGCTTGTCTTAGGAACGAAGGAAAAAGAGGCACTTATGGAGAAGATGGCCAAGTCAGTGCGAGAAGCTGGCCACGCCCCCCAGTGGCTCGCTCCCGCACACGTCAACAACATGTTTGGGTGAGTTTCAGACACGATATTAGAACGGAATCGAGTGATGGAGTTTGTTGTTGAAGAGATTGTTATTAATTATTGTTTTTTGTTTTTTTTTATTTGTTTTTTTTTTTAATTTGATTTTTGGAGGGTATTATAAATATTGTTTTGATTTGTTTTGTTTTTATTTTGTTGTCATTGGTGTTATTATAATCAGCATACTCATTATTCATTTTAGTCCTTTTGTTATTTTTTGACCTAATGTGTTCTTGTTATTGTAATGATTATCTTCCTCCATATAATTTAGCAAAATGTATTTTCGAATAACAGAGTTCTTAAACCATTAACACCCAATAATTTTCAGATTATCAAACGATTTACCAATCACAAAATCGAGCGTATTTATTATTTCTACCATAGATAGGTTTTCACCTGTGACGTCACACTTGATTGAATCACGTGACCTTTACGTTATTTACAGACTGGGATGTGGAGATGACACCATGGCCTTCCTAGACCCCAGCGGAGGCGTGCTGATGGCTGACAAATGTGTTGGGGCCCTACAGGTACGCAGTAACATGCACGTGTATGCGTAAATGCATATGCTTACATAATTTGATTTACCGCGTATAGGCCTTCGCTAACATAAATGGTAGACACGGACATAGACTACAAAAAAAACACAACCACACTTACAATTACAGTTATTATAAAGGCTATGGATGTCTCACTACATGAACTGGTGGATGCGGTGATAGAGTGGTACGACATGACTCTTTATTGATGAAACAGTATAATAAAAGCAAATGAACACACGATACAGGGAACTAGGAAAGCGTTATCGCGGCGTCCTGTTCCCCGGCCAGCGGAATTCCGAGGAGGTCTCGACGAAACGTGGTGCGATATAACGGTCATCCTGGTCAGCCTATAATTGTCATCTTGGGAGCCTGGCTTGGCTTGGGTTTGCAGGCGCCATCTTGAGCTGATGACTTACACGTAATCATGCTTAAAAACACGCCATATCGCTCGGCTACCTACTCGGGCCTCGACCT